ACCTTTTGACAAGCAGTATACCTGAAGTTACGGAGGGGTCCTTTGGCACGAGAACTGGATACTCGAGGTGTATTCCTGAATTCAGGGAAGGCAAGAGCAGGAAATATCATCTCCTCTGACGCTGGCAATGCCCCAAGATGTGGGAGTTTCCAAAAACAGGGGACCCTAACCTCGTACCCTAAATAGTAGGATCCTTATTATAAGAACCCCAAAATAAGGTACCCCTAATTTTGGGAACTCTAAACCCTAAACCCTATAGATCCCTTATAGGAACCCTTAAAGGAAGGATCCCTTTAAAGGAAACCCCCATGTCTCGGCTCCAGGCTCCCCAAAATCATCAAATCTCGGCCCGATGCCCCTAAGCCCGAGGCTTCCCAGAGCCTCCAAAACCCCTTAATTAAGGAATATGCCTTAAATAAAAATAGGATCCCTAATAGGATTTAAGGTATTTTCCTTAATTAAGGGGTTTTGGAGGCTTTGGGTTGAAGTCCTGAGAAGCGCTAAGCCCCAAGCTTCCACGCCCCGAGACTTGAATCCCACATCATTCTAGTATGGTCCATGACGGACCCGCCCGAAACCCGAAGCCCTACACCCCAAAAACCCCCAAAGCCCCCACATAAACCCTCAGAGCCCCCCCAAACCCCCAAAGCCCCTTAGCAGAGCTCCAGCCCTCCAGCAGGATCTCTCTGGGGACCTCGAGCAGCTGTGCCTGTTTCTGGGCTCTTGTTAAGTAGCTTTTTGTTTAGGCTCTTCGGGTCTATAAGGGATACTATCAGGCTTCCTTTCAGGGATCTGTAAGGGAAACCCTAAACCCCTACACCCTAAACACTAAACCCCTAAACCCTAAACCCTAAACCCTAGAATCGTATAGATTCCTTATAGGAGCCTTTAAAGGAACCCTTATAGATCCCTTTAAAGGAAACCTAAAGAAACCCTAAACCCTACACCCTGATCCCTCAAGACGAGCTCAGGTTTCCCTCGCTGCGTCGGTTTCGAGGAGGCCAGGGGTTCGGGGCTTCGGTTTGAGGGTTTTTTTTTAGTTTCCTTTAAAGGGATCTATAAGGGTTCCTTTAAGGGCTCCTAAAAGGGATCTATACGATTTTAGGGTTTAGGGGTTTAGGGGTTAAGGGTTTAGAGGCTTAGAGGTTTAGGGTTTAGGCTTTGCAGGGTTTAGGGGTTAAGGGTTGAGGGGCTTAGAGGTTTAGGGTTTAGGGGTTCAGGGGTTTGGAGCTCTGGGTTTCAGGGTTTACATAGGGTTTAGGTTTAGAGCTTTGGGCTTCGGGGTTCACTGAGACACAACTTGCGCTGAAATTCGTTGTTGTCACGGCTATTGGGTCTCTAGGTTGCTGCCTTTGCTGCTGCTGTCATGTTGATGGGTTTAGTCTCACCCTAAACCCTAAACCCTAAACCCTAAACCCTAAACAGGCTAGCCGAAGCCCGCACCTCCACCGTCGCAGGAGGTTTGCTGCCTCTGGCCGTGGGTCGACAGCAGGGCCGGCTTCTAGATGTTTGGCCCTTCAACGAGGCCGGCGCCGGCAAGAAGCTTCTTCCTTCGGAGTGGGCTTCGGGTTTACGGGTTTAGGGTTTAGGGTTTGTAAACAATCAAGGTCCACAAACTCACTCGTGTCAAGGGCAGAACAGATTGGACGCAACCCCCATCCGAAGTTTGAACGTAAAGCCAAACTTCAAATACCTGAGCCACGAGACACTGAAGCCCGAAACAGGTTTGTTCAAGTCGCTAAGCAGCGTATTTTGTTTCGGTATGACCCCCCCCCCCTAAATCCTGAGCATAACACATCGGTACCAAACTCCTAAACCCTATCGAAAGAATCTATGCTCCCAAGGCGGAGATCGACGCGGACGACATGGAGTGGCCCTTGCCCATGGCCGATCTCAGCCGAAGAGCACAAGAGCACCATCAGCGCTGCAAGGACTCTGGGTTTAGGGTCTAGGGTTCAGCATTTTGGGATTAGTTGGTCCTTTTGAGAACCATGCAGGGTGCTCGGAGTTGCTAGTCCGAGGAAGGCGCTTGTGCAGTTAAATGAGCTCTTACTTGAGCATTGTAACCAAAGCTGGCAGTGTCTCTTTCACCACATTTCAATGTGAACAACCTTTGCTGCTTGTCCTTCCTGCAGGGCTTGATCTCAGAACACGGAGTCGGAACGCGTACTTAACACATTATCTGGCTCCCTCTCCCCTCTCATTGCCTTCAAAGGCGGGCGGTTCACGAGACAGATAGGGAGGTAGCGAGGGAGGTGGGCAGGCACCTTGTCTGCCGTCTCACCGCTTGAGGAACCCACATGGGTAGTTGTCTAAATTATGGCCCCATTTTTGGGTACCGTAAACATTAGGTGCCGTACATCTAGGTACCCCGTATTTTCGGAAACTCCCACATGTGTGTTTGAAATGGTTTTGGCACCACAAGCATCAAAATGGTGGACGCAGCGGCCAGGGTACGGGGTGGGTGGTGGTTGGGTGGGGGTTATCCATGTATGTATACGTATATGTCTATGTATATGTACATGAATGCGTCTAGGTCTAGGTCTAGGCATAGGTATGCAAGGATCCGCAACGACCCGTGCGTGTTGTATACGTGTACATATGTACGCACGCCGAATCTGTGGTCAGGTCCCAGAACCAGGATGCACCAAAACTATTTTGCCGGAAGTTACATGATTGTCGTGGTCCACATCGTAGTCATAGCTCACAACGTGCAGCACTTTCAACAAAAACAAACACCCAGCCGGACATGCGGGTTACCCTCGAAGCCATGTCTCCGCATCAGCCCTGAGCCGTGAATCCTTCGCGTGCCCTGCAGCCCAAAGCTTGAATCTTTCTTCGAGGTCTGTCACCCCAACTCCGGCTCAGGTTGTGTTGTTTCTTGAATTCTGTTGCATCAAAGCTTGCTTGCCCGGTGCGTGCTCATGGACTAAGTAAACCCTAAACCCTAAACCCTAAACCCCCAATCCATGTTTGGAGTTCCGGGTTCACATTACACAGGCTTTGGGTATTTGGGACTTCGAGTTTCGGGTTCCGGAACCCCTTAAACCCTAAACCCCAAGCCCTAACCTCTAAACCCCAAAGCCTAACCCCTATAACCCCTAAGCCCTAAACCCTAAACGCGAAGCCCGAAACCCTAAACCCCAAGCCACTCAACCCCCCTAAAGCCTGAGCCCGAAGCCCTAACCCATCAACCCTAAACCGCCAGTCTCCCATATCCTTATTCCGTAAATCATATTAGGGGGATCCTACTATAATTTAAGGTATATTCCTTAAATCATATTCGGGATCCTGCTAATTATAGTTTACGGTATATTCCTTAAGTAAGGGATATTGGACTCTCGGGGAAGGAAGCTCTGGCTCCCAAGAGCGACTGGGCGGCTGCGCACGTGGTGCGGGGCCGACTGTGCTTTTCCCCCGCTCGTTTTTTGGGGGGTGGAAAGGGGATTTTGGGGGTTTGGGTGTCGGCTTTCCCGTTCAGGGTTCTGGGTTCAAGGTTTAGGGTCTAGGGTTTAAGGTTTAGGGTTTGGGGTTTAGGGTTCAAGGTTTAGGGTTTAGGGTCTAGGGTTTTCCGGTAGATCCTGGGGCGTTCGGGGATTCGGGTTTTGAGCGTTTCAGTTGTATTACTGCAGCCTTTGAAAATCCAGCCCTGCTTCCCACACCCAAACTCTACACCCTAAAACCCCCAAACCCTAAGCTCTATTGCAGGGGCCTCAGTACTTACAAACACTATTTTGGGGGTTCCTTCTTATGGTTTTAGTATAATGGGCCCCAAAACCCTATTCTAATTTCTCAGGCCCCTACATTAGACCCCACGTACCCTAAACTCACCCGTGCCCCGGCCCGCCTCTGGAGTGACTGCAGGGTGGAAATCCCGTGATGTAATCCGGAGTGTCGGGTTTATGCGGTTTAGTGTAAACGGCTGAAAAGGAGCAGGGGTTTAAGTGCCCGAGTAGCTTCGGCCAATACTGAAGAGTTTGGTTTGGGGTTAAGGGTTTCAGAAAAATATTCGAGTTGATCCCAATCTGGCACCAGTTTCCTGTGGCAAGAAGATCTGTTGTAAGACAAAAACCTGGTTGCGGGTTCAGGGGTTTAGGGATTGAGGGTTCAGGTGTTTAGGCCAGTTGCGGTTTCGGGTAGAGAGAACTGCTACGAGTCAAACAAACTCGTTGCCGGATTTAGTGCTCGGGGCTCGACCAGGTGACCACCAACTGTCGCCTCTAGCTATGACCTAATTTCGCTTGCTGAACCACAAACCCAGAGACTCGAAGATCCCTTGATTAAGTAGTATACCTTCAATCATATTGGGAATCCTCCTCTGACTTCAGGCCTGTTCCTTAGTTAAAGGATAATGGAGTCTCTGGGAACCCGAAGTCATCCCAAATCTTAAGCCCTTAGCATCCCTACAAGGTGTTGTTACCATAGCAAGCTCTTGATGTACATTGACAAGCTTTCGGTATACAGCCTCAGGCAAACATGAGTTCACCACGACAGTTCATCGACTTTGATATTCTTGTGCAGCCGTCATTTAGGCTTTCATGGAGACTTAGATCTTAGCCATTCATCAGGTCACTTCCGCTTTATGTTCTGGCATTATTTCGCTTTATGTCCTGGCATTATTTCGCTTTATGTTCTGGCATTATTTCGCTTTATGTTCTGGCATTATTTCGCTTTATGTTCTGGCATTATTTCTCTCGCCGGGCCCATGGCGACTTCGCAGGCACGGACTCTCATGATATCTGACTGCGCAAGTACCTGCTGCATGTACCTGCTCCTGATCATGATGCGAGGCTGCATGTACGATCATGAACTGATTCTGCATGCACGATCATGGACTGATTCTGCATGCACTTGCTGCCGCTGATCATTGCCCAGGCATGTGTGCAAGTTGATGCTATTTCAAGTCGGCAGGCAGTCACCTCAAAACGACTTGCAAATGTACAATGCAGCAGGTGTGTAGCTCAGTTTCATTAAAACCCGAGCTTAGACATTGAAACGGCATGCCGCAATCCCGTCGGAAACTCGACTACTCTGCTTGCGACGATGTGAGTTTTGCAATCAAAGATCTCAAGTCGGCGGATTCGGAGTTCCCGCAAGATCTTCTTCGTCCGGCCGCACGTCGTTGGGCTCAGGGTGCTGGCTGGACTCTTGGAAGTTACTCACAGCCAATCCGATGCCCGGCAGCTGAACCCACTTTCTCTTGCACGGCAAGGTGTTTCGAACATGAGTTTTGCCATGCTAACCAGGGATCCGTTTTCCGCTTCGAAGGCCACATAGAAAAGAAACACTTTTATCGCCTGCTCGTGCAGAAAGCCGGCGATTGCAATGGAGAAGTTCGTAAATACCGAGAGTCTGCAAGCTCGTCAAAGGAGTTGGCTGTCTCAACGGAGGACCGGCGACGCATTCATGCAGCTGCTGACAGTCTTCTCCAGGATTACATGCAGGCTACACCCACGGCAGTGATACAAAGGATGGGGGACCCGCCTGTGGACGCAGCTCATGTTCGATCAGTCCTTCGCTGGAGGCGAGAACAGTATGGTAACTGCACTGCTGGATTTCGTGCCAGCGAATCGGACTTCACCGAGGAAGCCGAAAGATGGGCCGACGTGGATAGCAAACCCATCCATCTTGCAAGGTGGACACTCAACCTGTTTTGCTGGGCAGCAGTTCTCACGCCGTTCATGCTTGAGCTGGTGCGACTGAAGCAATCTGGCAGATTGGATGGTATCTACTTAGCAGCCGATTGGACCTTCAAAGTGGACGTCATGAATTACAGCTTCTTGGCCATGCTGAGTAGGCGCGAGACAGGAGGCAATCAGGTTTCGAATAATAAAGGCAAAGGAAGCTTATTTTGCGTTCTTGGCCTTCCCAAACCACCGAAAACAGCATTCTTTGCATTTACTCCTTGTCAGAACGGGTAGAAGCAAATCGGGCCCCAAGTAGGTGGCAATAAACCCAAAGGAAGCTTATTTTGCGTTTTTGGCCTTCCCAAACCACCGAAAACAGCATTCTTTGCATTTATTCCTTGTATGAACGGGGTAGGCAATAAACCCAAAGGAAGCTTATTTTGCGTTTTTGGCCTCCCAAACCACCGAAAACAGCATTCTTTGCATTTATTCCTTGTATGAACGGGGTAGGCAATAAACCCAAAGGAAGCTTATTTTGCGTTTTTGGCCTTCCCAAACCACCGAAAACAGCATTCTTTGCATTTATTCCTTGTATGAACGGGGTAGGCAATAAACCCGAAGGAAGCTTATTTTGCGTTTTTGGCCTTCCCAAACCACCGAAAACAGCATTCTTTGCATTTATTCCTTGTATGAACGGGGTAGGCAATAAACCCAAAGGAAGCTTATTTTGCGTTTTTGGCCTTCCCAAACCACCGAAAACAGCATTCTTTGCATTTATTCCTTGTATGAACGGGGTAGGCAATAAACCCAAAGGAAGCTTATTTTGCATTTTTGGCCTTCCCAAACCACCGAAAACAGCATTCTTTGCATTTATTCCTTGTATGAACGGGGTAGGCAATAAACCCAAAGGAAGCTTATTTTGCGTTTGTGGCCTTCCCAAACCACTGAAAACAGCATTCTTTGCATTTATTCCTTGTATGAACGGGGTAGGCAATAAACCCAAAGGAAGCTTATTTTGCGTTTTTGGCCTTCCCAAACCACCGAAAACAGCATTCTTTGCATTTATTCCTTGTATGAACGGGGTAGGCAATAAACCCAAAGGAAGCTTATTTTGCGTTTGTGGCCTTCCCAAACCACTGAAAACAGCATTCTTTGCATTTATTCCTTGTATGAACGGGGAAGCACAATTTCCGAAACGAGGTACTTCCAGTACTAATGTTGTACTACAACAGCGTCTGAAACGAAGTACTTCCTGTACTACAGCAGCAGCAGCAGCAGCATGTGCAGCAGCAGCAGCAGGATGTGCAGCAGCAGCAGCAGCAGGATGTGCAGCAGCAGCAGCATGTACAGCAGCAGCAGCAGCAGCATGTGCAGCAGCAGCAGCGGCAGGATGTGCAGCAGCAGCAGCAGCAGCAGCAGCAGCAGCATGTGCAGCAGCAGCAGCATGTGCAGCGGCAGCTGCTGCTGTGACTCTGCCCTGATGCCCTGACGTGATGTCTTCATGCCCAAAATCTCGGTTCCAGGTACGGGAAGGCGCCAAGTGACAGGCCTTGGGATTGAGCCCGCGGAGTTCCTCTGCAGACACCACTGGGACTGGACTCGCTCCGCCTTGCTACCCGGGGGGTGTCCGACAGGCAGTTCCAACAGAACATTGGAGGCGGCAGGCCAGCCGCGAACCCGAACCCAAAATCCCCTCGAACCGGGCGTTGTGCCGCAGGCACGGCCTTAGGAGCTCCACGCAAATACTGCGCGGCACTTTCGCAGTGTTGCAGCTCATAAGGATCAGCAGCAAGCTTATCCAAATGATAAGCTTTAAAGGCTCTGCGGGCATGGATGGGATCTGATCTGGACGTTATCATGGTCGGCACATGGATGCTCTGCGGGCATGGATGGGGTCTGATCTGGACGTTATCATGGTTAGTTAGTTGGCACATGGATGCTCTACGGGCATGGATGGGGTCTGATCTGGACGTTATCATGGTTGCCACCATGGATGCTCTGCTCTGGACGTTATCATGGTTAGCGCATGGATGCTCTGCGGGCATGGATGGGGCTTGATCTGGACGTTATCATGGTTGGCACATGGATGCTCTACGGGCATGGATGGAGTCTTGATCTGGACGTTATCATGGTTGGCACATGGGTGCTCTGCGGGCATGGATGGGGTCTGATCTGGACGTTATCATGGTTGCCACCATGGATGCTCTACGGGCATGGATGGAGTCTTGATCTGGACGTTATCATGGTTGGCACATGGATGCTCTACGGGCATGGATGGGGGTCTGTTGGCACATGGATGCTCTACGGGCATGGATGGGGTCTGATCTGGACGTTATCATGGTTGCCACCATGGATGCTCTGCGGGCAGGGTCTGATCTGGACGTTATCATGGTTGCCACCATGGATGCTCTGCGGGCATGGATGGGGTCTGATCTGGACGTTATCATGGTTAGTTAGTTGGCACATGGATGCTCTACGGGCATGGATGGGGTCTGATCTGGACGTTATCATGGTTGGCACATGGATGCTCTACGGGCATGTTTGGAGTCTTGATCTGGACGTTATCATGGTTAGCACATGGATGCTCTACGGGCATGGATGGAGTCTGATCCGGACGTTATCATGGTTGGCACATGGATGCTCTGCGGGCATGGATGGGGTCTGATCTGGACGGCATCATGGTTGCCACCATGGATGCTCTGCGGGCATGGGTGGGGTCTGATCTGGACGTTATCATGGTTGGCACATGGATGCTCTACGGGCATGGATGGAGTCTGATCTGGACGTTTTCATGGTTGGCATATGGATGCTCTACGGGCATGGATGGGGGTCTGTTGGCACATGGATGCTCTACGGGCATGGATGGGGTCTGATCTGGACGTTATCATGGTTGGCACATGGATGCTCTACGGGCATGTTTGGAGTCTTGATCTGGACGTTATCATGGTTAGCACATGGATGCTCTACGGGCATGGATGGAGTCTGATCCGGACGTTATCATGGTTGGCACATGGATGCTCTGCGGGCATGGATGGGGTCTGATCTGGACGGCATCATGGTTGCCACCATGGATGCTCTGCGGGCATGGGTGGGGTCTGATCTGGACGTTATCATGGTTGGCACATGGATGCTCTACGGGCATGGATGGAGTCTGATCTGGACGTTTTCATGGTTGGCATATGGATGCTCTACGGGCATGGATGGGGGTCTGTTGGCACATGGATGCTCTACGGGCATGGATGGGGTCTGATCTGGACGTTATCATGGTTGCCACCATGGATGCTCTACGGGCATGTTTGGAGTCTTGATCTGGACGTTATCATGGTTGGCACTTGGATGCTCTACGGGCATGGATGGAGTCTGCTCTGGACGTTATCATGGTTAGCGCATGGATGCTCTGCGGGCATGGATGGGGTCTGATCTGGACGGCATCATGGTTGCCACCATGGATGCTCTGCGGGCATGGGTGGGGTCTGATCTGGACGTTATCATGGTTGGCACATGGATGCTCTACGGGCATGGATGGAGTCTGATCTGGACGTTTTCATGGTTGGCACATGGATGCTCTACGAGCATGGATGGAGTCTGATCTGGTTGTTATCATGGTTGGCACATGGATGGGGTCTGATCTGGACGTTGTCATGGTTGTCACCATGGATGCTCTGCGGGCATGGGTGGAGTCTGATCTGGTTGTTATCATGGTTGGCACATGGATGCTCTACTGGCATGGATGGGGTCTGATCTGGACGTTGTCATGGTTGCCACCATGGATGCTCTGCGGGCATGGATGGGGTCAGAAACTGTAATTACTGCGACCCTTCCAGCATGGCAGAGAAGGAAACTGCAATTAATTAGTGCGACCGCTCCAATATTGCAGAGAGATACGTGTACGGGGACCCCACGACCATATCGCCAGTCAGTGGTATGACCCCATGGATCGTCAAAGGACCTGAATCGCACACTCGAGCACTGACGCCTCCCCATGCTTCTGTATATAGTCGTGTTTGTGTTGGCTCAAACCCTCCCTCCCAACCCGCCCCCCGCCCCCCCGGTTCATAGGGTTGCGGTTTGTGTGTGGGGGTGGTTTCGTTTCAGGGGTTTTTCAGGGTGGTTTAGGACACATGCATGTGCCTAGGTCCCCAAATTTTAGGGGAAACCGGGCTTAGGGTTTAGGGTGCCTTGCTCCCCAAGACAGGGGTCGGCGGGCACGTAGGGTTCAGGGCCCAGTGTTCAGTTTTATATATTTTTTAGGTCCCCTACTCAGGGGAAGCTGGGCTTAGGGTTTAGGGTAGTGCTAGGTTAGGTTGTTTCCCCCCCACAGGGTGCCCCCCCACCCGCAAGCATAATGATGTCCATATCATCCATGGCCCAACCGTGATGACATCCACACTGGGTTTTCCGGCCGGTCCAGTCATAATGTTCCAGCAGCAGCAGCAGCAGCAGGTGCAGCAGCAGCATGTGCAGATGCAGCAGCAGCAGATGCAGCAGCATGTGCAGCAGCAGGAGCAGCAGCGGGAATAAACCCAAAGGATGTTTTTCTTTGCGTTTTTTGCCTTCCCAAACCACCGAAATACAGCATTGTTTGCGTTTAGTCCACCGGTATAGGTTGGTTTTCTGTCAGTCTACGTTTCGTGAGGCAAGGAACCTGTAGGTTGGTTGTGCTTTTTCTTATGGGAAGTCAAGGCATGGGACTCATCGCCTGCGTTGTCCGGCGCAAGCTTCAGAAGAACTGGAGAGCTACACCATGGCCCTTGGTAGCCGTGTTGACGGCTACCGAAGAGCTTGCCGGCTACAGATTGGGATTCGATGTTCTGTGTGACGCTCTAAAACATTACGACCTCCCCAATCCGGTTGCGGTATCCACTGACTTTTTCTCTGGCTCTGGAGAGGCAGCCACATCCAAGTGGCCGCGATGCGCGCATGTGCAAGACCTGTGGCATTTACGCCGCAACCTGATCAAGAACGACAATGCGGCTCGGAGACAGTTGCAACGGTCTTCAGAAGGATTGGGCAGTGTTCCGGGCACACCAGCACGGAAAAGCAAGAGGCAGATCAGGGCCAAAGCGAAGCCGAAGGCCAAGGGCAAAGCGAAATTGCCTCCGCACTTGAAAAAACGCTTCGTGTGGGCATTCCTGAAGCTGGTCGATTATTTAGCCTGGTGTCCGACACGTGCGTTCTTTCACTGTGTAGCTCAGACAATCTTCAAGCGAGTTGAGTTCGTCTGGCAGGAAAAGGAGTTTTTGCAATATTTCGTTCAGCGATACATGATCCGTGTTCCTGCTTCTGACAGCAGCATCGATGGCACGGAACATTTCTGGGGCGCCACATGGTGGGTCGGCATTGGAAGATATGCGCGCTTGCCTCCCAGCCAGCAACCATCTGAGAGTTTGAACGCCATTGTCAAGCGCCAGCTCCGTGCGCAAGGGCCTGTTACAACCCACGTTGACCTTGTGCACAAATTTGCCAAAGCAGTACAGACTTTGTCCACGCCCATGCTTTTTGGTGCGGACAGAAGCAAGAAGCCTGTCACACTGATGGGAAGGGATGTTCGGTCTGGGAAACCGACAACTCCCAGCGAGTGGATGTGGCAGAAGGGCAAATCTGTTCGTCGACCTTTTGACAAGTAGCGTGGTGGCAATTTTTCAATGTTGTTTTAAGCTTCCTAGGTCCTAAACGTAAGACTGTGCACAATCATTCTCTGCAGCACTCAGGAAGGCTAACTTCATGGCTTCGATTCCCACGATTGGGACGCATGAGGCGCCCCAACTCCAAATACATGGACGTGTACCAGGGCCCGAAGTTGCGGTTCGTTGCCTTGGGCCTTTACAAGCCCGTTGCAGTCACTTCCGGAGTTGCGAAGACAATGGCAACTCAACTTCAAATCAGACACGTCGAGCATCTGCAGAAATACTTGCTGGAGCTCGGAATCCTGGAGTCTCCGGAAGATGCGCCAGAGACAGCGAAGCATCGGTTCTCGTCCGAGAAGTTTGAGCAGTATTGGCACACGTGGGCCCTGTGTTGGCAACCTTCGCGCGACAGCTCGCGCTTTGTCTGCAGCTGTTGGTACCACCAGTGGCACAACGAATGTGTGCATGCTTTCAGCTGCGAAGTGTTTTATGGCTTGCGCGAAGACGTTCCCAGAGTGCTGCCGACAGCTGCAGAAACTCTGAAGCGTGCTGCTACAGCTCCTTTGCAATCGGACGACGAAGCTTGGCAAGACCACCCACGCAAGCGGCGACGCAAGTGCCAGTAATGCAGAGACGTTTTTTGGTCCTCTGTGTTTTGCGACTGGTCGTCGCTCGGCTCAGCGGCCTCTGCTGAAGGCATTGGCTTCTACAACGGGCAAAGGGAGTTCTGCACCGCTCTTGCGAGAAAAGCATGCGATTCGTACGCAATGTAACAGTCACGAGACAAACTTTCCCTACTTCCTCCGCAATCCATTATCAAAATCAGCGGTTCTGACAGGTTCATGAGGATGCCGATGACGCCTTCGATCCGAGCGATGACAAGCTCTGTGCAGAGGCCTCCTCGAAATGACAAACGCTTACAGTCAAACACTTGCAATCAGAGTGCAGTGCGTGCAGGTAGTTGAGCTGGAAGTGGCGCCTTTCCCTAGCCCGACGACACCAGAGGCCCGCTCAGAGAGGGGAAGGTCGCAGTCAGTGGGTGCGCCTTCCGAGGTGTGCTCTCGGAGCCCTACGACACCAGTGACGTCGCAGGAAGCCAACTCTGAGGACATTCCCATTCCGAAAGCTTTGCGCTGTGAAGTGCTGTTTGTCACTCCACTGTTACCTTCTCGTTGCACATGCAATCACACACTCCTCATCATCATCATCCTCCTCATCCTCCTCATCCTCATCCTCCTCATCCTCATCCTCCTCATCCTCATCCTCCGCATCCTCCTCCTCCTCCTCCCCCTCCTCCTCCTGCTCCTGCTCCTCCTCCTCCTCCTCCTCCTCCTCCTCTTTTCTTTCTCATCACGGCAAAAAGGGAGCTACCCCGTAACCACTGAGTTAAACAGACGGGCTGTCAGTGGCTTGTGTGGGATAGAATCAAGCTGGCCGACGCAGGATGCAGAGAAGAGAACACCGAAGGCCAAGAAGCCGAAAGCCGCAAAGGTGGGGTTCGACGGATCAGCACGCACTGCTGCTGCCTGTTCCCATGCCAGGACTCCGACCTGAGCAAGTCCTCCACGAAGCACAAGAGTGCTTCAGAGGCTTCTCCCGAGGACGCACTTGTGTTGGTGGCTTCTGCGTGGACTGGACAAGCAAGCTCCCCAACCCAGGAAACTGGACAAAGAAAGCAGGCAGCGCCGCGGAAAAGAAAGCAGAAAGCCCAGGACACACTGGAGTGAGTTTAGTGTTAGCTATGCAAACAGGATTGAAGCGAAATACTGCAGTGCTTGGTGGTGTTGGTAGTTGTTGGCTCTCAAACAGTCCAAATCCTAGGTACTATTAAGGAGGCCCCTGAAAGGGGACCCTTCTTAACCCTACTTCTGGCTCTCTTAAAAAAGACCTTATTCAGAGGGTCTATGTCCCCAAGGGTCCCCCTAATCCTAACTCCCACCAAATATGTGTCTGTTGTGTCAAAATACCGAAAACCCAAAGGAGCTTCATTTGGTCCTCATGTGGCGAATCGTCCGAAAACGTTTTTTTTTGCGTTTATTCTGATGGGCAAGCCTGCGAGGAGCCAGTGGCCTTCGTCGTGATTTCCAGTCACCGGTTGTGGTATCTCCGGAATCTTGCTTGCAACTAGGTCCGGTAAGAGCAGGTTTCGCACGTGTGTAAATAAACTTATACCAAGACGAAGAACCTGTAAGTAACAGTTTAATGTTTTAGGATTTACTATTATATGAACATAGAATCATACAGCTATTTCGTATCGTTACTTCGTAATATAATCATAAAGACGACGCTTCAAGGAGCTTTTTCTGGGTTCAATAGCGCCTTGGTCTCCTGACAAGGGGTTGGCCGGACTGGGCGCAAGGCTTACCAACACCGTATCACCGCATGACCGCATGAACAGATCCCAATACCCCTTAATTAAGGAATATGCCTCAAATCATAATATGCAGCCGTCTGATAAGCCCCGTACATATAATTTCAGGCTATATTCCTTAATTGAGGGGTATTGGCCTTTCTGGGTACAGTCCGATAAGGTCCTAGCCACCCTTGACTATAAGCCCTACTCTACGACAGCTTCGGGTGATGATGTTTGCCAGCGTTTTGTAGCTGATCACACACTTTCTTTTGAAAGAAGTTCGCTCTTAACCCTAAAAACACTAAACCGCTTAATCCCCTCTTGCCCCGAGGCCCCGAAGCCCGGAGCTCGCGGACCCTAAAACCCAAGCCAAAGTTGATGCTTTGCTCCGAGCCTCAGTAACCACGTCGGACCTTGGTAAGAACACCTTGGTAGAACCCAAACCCTCGCAGTGGTTCTAGAAGCTTGTAGATCTTACAGAACCTTTCGTTGGTATCGAAGGCGTCTTCACAGCTTGAGCGAGACGTTGCTTCCAGTGCCGTGGCAGCACCCGGAGCTCTGGTGCAACCCGTCGGTCAAATCCCCGGACCCTCAACAGCCCGAACCTCGCCGGGTTTGGCGCCACATTTTTTAGCTTGCCGCTTCGAAAAGCCCACGCAGAAAGCCTGTGTGTAAGATATAAATTTAGATTTCCCGCCCCTCCACCCAGAATCACAACATCCACAAACCTTTCTCGGTCTAAAATCCACCAACTTCCCAAGAACTCTGCCTGAAACTTTTGCAGCTGAGGCGAACCCCCTGCTGCGTCCGCCGCAGCTCCTCCGGAAGATGGCCTGAAGGTAGGGTTTAGGTGCCTTGTACCGGGTTGCAACGTCAGAGACCTTAGCCCAAAGCCAGTCTTGGACCCCAAACTTTGAACCCTAAAACATAAACCCCGAACCCTGAGCCCTCAACCCTAGACCTTTTTGGCATCGGGCGTCTTAGAGGGACCGGCCGCTCCAGGTGGGCACGAATGCGAAAATCGCAGAGGTCGACATCAAAGATGCAGGACTCGCGGGCATGGGGGGTATGTGTTTTGAAGTTTCGGGCTTGGGGCTTGGGGTTTAGGGCTTAGGGTTTAGGGTTTGCGTAGAGTTTAGGGTTTAGAGTTTAGGGGTTGGGGCAGTAGCGTATGAGCTGCAATTTACATAGGGCTCGAACTATGCTATCGGGGTCCTTGTTGTGAAACCATGTCTGCTTCGTGTTTATAACCACTTTCGGGCAGTACCTCATATCATATCTTGGCGTCATCAAGCCATGGAGTCAGTCCAACAACCCAAAACCCGAAACCCTGAACTCTAAACTCAAACCGAAGCAGCAGCATGTGCAGGATCCCTAAACAGCAAACCCCTAGGTTTCAGAAATCCTCCGGTGCCAAACTGCCGGCAGGAGCGGCGGTCAACTTATGCGGCACAGAGGCAACAGTTAAGCGAAAGTCTGATGGAAATGTGCTGGAGGCTTGGGGTAGCCAGCTTGTGCATGTTTCTTTGTCACAGCTGTGTTTGATGAGGGAGGTGCAGGGTTCTGTGAGGCATCGTAGGGCTTCTCTGCGGGTGTAGGGGTTTAGGCCTTCGGGCGCAGGGTTCAGGTAGGGGTTCAGGGTTTGAGGTTTGAAAGACTTGTCGCCGAGTATTTCCTTGATAAAGCCTTAAAACCTAAACTCCAGGGTTCGTTTTTACAAAACCCTGTTGTAATTATAAAAGCCCGTAAATCATTACTTTATGAAGCACAAGACCCAGCGAACATGCCTTCATCAACGGATGCAGGAGTCTCGCTGGCTTGACATGAGCAGTTCTGAAATGTCTGTGCTGCTATCTCGTCAGGGTTTCGGGTTTCGTGTTTCCTATCTCGGGGGTCCTGGTCTACAGCCGAAGCAATGTGAAATTTGCTGTCGAGAAGTTTTCTACTAGTAAAGCTATCTTCCGCATGGTAGTTTGGGACTGAGCTGTGTCCATGTAGTGTCGCCATCCACGCGACAGGCCGGTGTTCTACACAGGACCAAACCCCTAATCCCGAAAACCGTGAACGCAGCAAGCTTCAACACAAAATAAGCCTCAGCAAGATCAGCTTCCAGTCCCCGTTCCAAATATTACAAAGCCCAGTTCGGACTACATCTGTGCCTTGCACGAGCGTTCTGCGAGTTTCGGCTTCCGCATGCCACAGGAAGCCAACAAAGCAGAGGAGCCGAAGCCGAGGAGAAAGCAAACTCAGAAAGCCAAGGACTGGCTTCGTTTTGGTTGCTGGGGCTTGCAGCGGCAGCCAGGTCCTATGTAGTTCCAGCTCAAGGCGAGGACGCTCAGGGTTAAACAGGTATCGGTGATGTTCCAAAACGACAGCGCTTTGTCGTTTTGCTGGCATGAAATGCACACTAAATGCGTGCAGATACACAGTACACCTCCACAATACCTTCACAACACTTCCACAACACCATTTCCACAACACTTCCACAAGACTTCCAGATCACCTCCACATCACCTCCACGACACCTACACAGCACCTCCATGTTAGGGGGCCATGGCTATGGAGTGCTACCAATGCGCTCGTGTTCTGGATGCCTTGCAGTGCGGGCTGGCTTGCAATGAGACGTGGTTTGCCCGGGCTGCTGGAT